GAAGCCAATAACATTGTTTGTTTGTTTGTTTTTTAATGTATCTTTATTGATTTCAGAGAGAGGGGAGGGAGGGGGAGAGAGAGACGGGGAGAGATATCGGGTGTCTCTCCTCCTACAAGGACACTTATCTCATTAGGGCCCCACCCTTATGACCTCATTTAACCTTAGTTACCTCCCTAAAGCCCTGATCTCCAAATGCAATCATGTCGAGGGTTAGAGCCTCAACATCTGAATTTGGGGGAGCACAGCTCAGCCCCTAACGCCAGGGCTGGATGGGAACTTTGAGCTAAAGAGCCCGTCTTACTGGCTGTGAGAACTGACTGGGGAAAGGCGCGTGCAACGTGGAACAGCTCACAGAGCTCTGCCTGCTGTTCCTTCCCCGTCTTTCCTCTTAACGTCAACATAAGATAACAAAGTAGCTGAGAACCGAGGGTTAGCACAAAGGCCGGGCTTTGCGTCGGCGTCAAGGCACTTAGCAGGGCTTCGAGGTGTCTGGGTGAAGCCGGGAGCAGGTGGGTGGGACTCACCGCGGAGTTTCAGAGGAAAAGCAGCCGGGGCAGGAGCGGCCTCGGCGAGTGGCCAGCTGCGGTCACTCCCGCAGCAGGTGCGGCGCGGTGGGGCTGATGCTCAAAGGCGCGGGAGCTGGGCCTCGGCCAGCGGGGAAGAGCCCACGGCCCGGCCTCCCCCCGGCCTCCCCCTGCCCAGGTGCCTCCTGGGATGCAGGGAGGGAGACTGCGGAGGGGGAGACCCTGAGGGAACCGGCCTTTGTCCAAGAGAGGCTGTTTTAAACCAGAAGAAACCACCTTCCTTTGACCTGGCAGTTGGCCTCCCGGCTGCAACCCCGCTACTGAGCAACATGCTTCGGCACGTCCGAGCCGTAGTGAGTACGTTTGGATTCTTCTACGTTCGTGTTTATCAAGCACTCATATCCTAGACATAGGGCTGAGCGTTTATCTGATTTTAAAATATATTGTTTTAAAACCAATAGTGAGGACAAATGTACCAGAAAATACCGAAACGTAAATGTTCAGCTGAATGAATTGTTGGGAAATGAGCACCGGTGTGCGGGCTTCCCCTGACCGTCTGTGTGGCCCGGCTGTGGCCTGTCCCACCCCCTGGAAGGCTTCACGAGCCAGGTCTGTGGACCCCCAGGCCTCAAGTCCAAGCGGAGTCTCCGGGCCCTTCAAACAGCCTCCTTCAAGCCACCCCTTGGGGCTAGAGTTGCAAACGGGGAGCGTGGTAGCCTCTCAGGACCGGCCTGGGAAAGACGGTGAAAGCAGGGGTCCCTGTGCCTGACGCTTGACCCAGAAGGTGGGACGTGGGCCCCCGGGGGGCATGGCAGTTGTTCCCTCTGGACTTCCTGCCCCATGGGACCAGGTTCAGACAAGGTGATGTAGCGAGAAAGCGGGGGACCTGGGATATTATGGAGCAGATTGTCTCCCTTCTCTAAGTCAGTGAAATTAAAACCAGCTGCTCTGCCCGAGCTGGTTTGCTCAGCGATTAGAGCGTCAGTCCGTGTACTGAAGGGTTGATCCCTGGCCCCCGTCTGGGCCTCTGTGCGGGAGGCAACCATTCGATGTGTCTCTTCCCCATTGTTGTTTCTCTCTCTCTCCCCTACCCTCTCTCTGAAATCCTCAGGCAAGGATTAAATAATAATACATAAATAATGAAATAAAAACACGGCCAGATGCTCTGGGGAAGGCCTGGCTTCGGCGATGCTTAGAAGTCCCCAGGTGATTCTAATGTGCGGGTTCTGCTACGCGAGCGGGGCCGACCCCCGCTGTCCTGGGCTGGGAAAGGCAGACTTGGGGCAGTGTTTTGAGCTTTTCTGTGGTGCCCGCTGGCACCTGGGGCCTCGGTGACGGCACAGGGTGCCCCCCAGATTCCGAAGAGGAGTCTGAGGCCTGTGCCTGGAAACAAGGCCGCCGACGTGCGTGTCGAGGGTGCGGGTCAGGAGCGCCGCGGAGCTGGAGCCGGCGCTGGGCTGCCAGGTGCGGGTCAGAGCGGCTCGGAAAGCAAGGGGCCCGCAGTGGGAGGCAAGTGTCTACAGGTGGCCCCGGCGGACGCTGGCGCGACCTCATGACTTTTGGCCTTTGCGGTGGTGTAAAAGCTGCGTGTTCAGGCGGAAGGTCCTTCACATTTCGAATTTGGATCTTTTCTGGGGCCGGTGGCAGGTGGGTGCGATCCTCTGGGTGAAGCTGGCCAGTGGCAGGAGAGGGCCCAGCGGCCCCGCGGTCGCCAGGGCAACGGCCTCGGCTCTGCAGCGCGGGGCCACGGGCGCTCTTTGG